CTCACTATGGAACCTAAGGGGTTAATCCTCTGTAAAAAGGATGTTTGATCCTGTCTTCTCTGATTATCCCCTTCTTCCTCAGTCCCCAATCCATCTGCTGATGGAACACAGCCTTGGGGGCAAACTGCACATGTTCAGTCTCATATGTATTGCTAGAGAGCGTTTTTTTTTCTTGGGAGGGTAAATGCGATTCGCACAGGGCCAATCGGTGCTGTTCAGACAGAGGGTCATGGGTTACGCAGCTTCATAGGACAATCAGGGGAGAATGAAAACTCCTCCTACAAGCTTTAACCAGTTCTCTGCTGGGCACTGATAGAAGTCACAAGACTGTTCTAACTGCTAATGAGAAAAGGTATTTAGCAATTTATATTTACTAAAATTAATTGCATTTCCATGTTGTGTGTACTGTTGGAGACCAGATATAGTGAATGCAGGGTCCTGGGTTTTGTAACACTTTAACATTGCAATGACATCCGCTGCGAATCTCATGGGTGGTGCTATTTGAATGCGGTGCAGGAAACCCATGAACGGTTTTCCACACCGCATTCTAATGTTAAGTGGGGCTAAATCAGCTTTTCTCAACCTTTTTACCTTAGAGGAACCCTTTCAATAATTCTCAAGAATCTGGGACCCCTGCCAAAACCAATTCATCGGGAGTCGGTGGGAAGAATGTCACAATTTGAAAACGGCGCAGCCATTCATGGCTCCACCCACACTGCCACGTCATTTATTATTATTATTATTATTATACAGGATTTATATAGCGCCAACAGTTTGCGCAGCGTTTTACAAAATGAAGGCAGACATTATAGTTACAATACAATTCGGTAAAAGAGGAAACAGAGGGCCCTGCTCGTTAGAGCTTCCAATCTAGGATTTATTCACAGAGTTCTGTAAATGAATGCCTACAAGTACCATCAGCCATTGCGGATGATGGCGTGTAGTTCTTAATGAACTGTGAGGGTGCAGGTGAGCGCTCACGTAGTCCATTGAGCTTCCTGGACTTCAGTAACTGCCTGCCTGTATAGGAGGTTCAGACAGACACTGTACTGATAGTCTTCAAGAGCCTGACATTGCACTCACGATCTGATGATTGCTGATGCAATGCTTTACAGGCTCCTAAGAAAATAATAATACATTCACATTTTTTTACCTGCAAAAAAGTGCATTTTTATTATTATTTTTTTTTTATTGAAGAAGAAGGTGCACTTATGCTTTCATGTCCAAAACTTGGGCAGTTGGCTCTTTAATTAAACATTAATGCATTTGTGACTGTCCCTGCAATAAAAAAAAAAGGACCATTACCTTGTACTCTTGGAAATAGAATTACAATATAGAATGTTTCCGAATTCATGCCGTGGATGTTGCTAAGCAGAGTTTCCACTCTAAATAATTTTTCCTAGCACAATGCTCACAAAGGCAATCCAGGAAAAAGATCACAAAGCATTATGACTCATATCAGAATACACAGACTGTACTTTCATGGTCTTTGAACCCCTCCAGCTTTTTGATAGTTGGAACTGAAAAGGATGATTGGTTCAACTGTAGCAAAATAGACTACTAACAACAGGATTGCTGTAGGACGGATGTAGTCCTAAATTGTGAATTCTTGGTCTTTAATATGTTGCCAACATTTTTTTTATATTGAAAATTCATCTAAAATTCACAACAAAAATGTAATATATTTCAGCTTGCCAGGCCCTAGATGTTGTGGCAACATTCATTTTCTGATATTTTAGAAAGTGTTGATCTCCTGGTTCCCCACTGCACTTAGTGGTTCCTCCTGCTGTCCATTATGTCCCTATAGGATGCAATGGTGACATAAGGTTCCGCGGGAGGTGCCACTCAGAGCAGTGAAGGATCAGGAGATCGGAACTCTGTTTTCTTAGTAGACATTACTTCAATGGGCATTGAATGAGCCAATAATTCACATAAGTACATATAGGTTTTGATTTACTAAAACCTGAGCCTTAAGAATCTGGTGCAGCTGCGCAGGGTAGCCAATCGGCTTCTAACTTCAGCTTGTTTAATTAAGCTTTGACAATACAACCTGGAAGCTGATTGGTTTGTATGCACAGCTGCACCAGATGTCTGGTTTCTCCAGCTTTAGTAAGTCTCACCCATAGTGTTCTCTCCTGTCTCAAGGGAGACCCAGCTATAAGTCTTACTGTCTGCATTAGACGCTGCTGGTCTCCAGATCATGCCTGGTTCAGTCACAGCATACACTATGAGTCCTCAGATGTCTTGCAGTCGGTGGGTGTTTATTTAACATATTTCCTTACAGAAGCATATAATACCTTGACATCAAAAAGCAACCATGTTGTGTTTGGCATGTGCAAAACATGTCAAGGTTGCTTTTTGATGTCAATATATGATATGCTTTTTATTTAAATAAAAGCCTTCCAATGTATGCAAAATGTCACCAAGAAAGTATTGTTACTTCTTATTTGTATTGGTGGGGAAAAAATACTATTTTTGAATTACTATTTTATTACTATATATCGTTTAGTATCAAATAGTTTTAAATGACCTTGTCTATTTGTGTGTATATATATATATATGTGTATGTATATATATATATATCATATTTAACATACAGTGACAGTCATGCCTTTTCACTATATGATTATTTTATTGATATGCCATACTTTACCAATAGGTTTTGTGTTTTGCTATTCTCTTGTTTATATTGCTTTATGTTCTTTTGTCCTTCAGCCCCGATGAAGGGGAAGTTGTTAGTCCTTGATATATGTTGACTATATCCTCAGAGCTGACGCTCTCCTTTTTATATACTAGTTGGATTTACTTGGCTTGGTTGGTTAAAGTTGTACAAGCTGATGTGTATGTTTACAAGGATTATAATAAACATTATACAGTAAAATGTTGCATGATGTCAAAAAACTCTGGTTTCAGGTAATATGTTCACAATGTGTTGACTCTGGTAAAGTCTTTCTTCTCATAGTGAAGATGTCTGCTCTGGGGAGGTAAGATAACGAAGCATTAACAATTTCGTCTGTCTTTAGCAGGTGCAGTGGTTAGCAAGGCTCACTAACCTATAAGGCTACGTTCACACTAGCGGTGTGTGCAGGCGTCAGAGAGGCGTTTGGGAAGCGTTTTTACCGCTTCCCAAACACCTCTGACAATTCTGCACATTGCAGCACATGGTGCTGTTCTAACGGGAGCGTTAGTGTTGCGGCAAAACGGACGCCTCTGGTCGAGTCAGGAGGTGTTGAAGCCTCCTATTCTAGTCTATGGTGCTGCTCCGCAAACACCTGGCCGGCGTTTGCGGCGTGGTTGCGGAGCAGTAACACCATTTAAACTTCATTATAGGTGTTTGCGGAGCGTTTTTAACGCTCGGCAAACGCCTAGCAACCGCCGCTAAACCGCGCATGAAGCGTTGGCGGAGCGTTAAAAAACGCTCCGCAAACGCCGGATCAACGCTTGCCATGCGCTATAGGGGCGTTTGGCAAGCGTTGGTAAAACAGTCAAGTCTGAAAGAGCCCTAAGACTTGTTACTGACAGTGTACACAGTGATAAGACTGCTCTATGTCTGCATCCCAGCAATCTGTGGATTGTTTGTTAGAACCTCTCTACCACTTAGGATTTCCTGCTAAATTGGACTTGTATGTGTCTGATGTCAGTTTTTTTTACATCTGTGCCTGTTCAGTTTATGTCTACATTTACACAGCAGACACAAGTGAACCTATGATGACTCTATGGGCAGCCAGATATAAATGGACTTGTGTCCTTTTATGTTTTTTTTCCAGACTTGTCCAAGTCCATTTACATTTGCCTGTCCATAGAGCTGCATTGAGCTTCAGATCAGATCCGCCTGAAAAAGACAGGTGGATCTAATCAGAAAGACTGTCTGAAAGGAACCTTAAGGTGGGAATACACGACTAGAAAATTGACTGATCAGTCATCCGGCGACCAAGAGGCGTTCGTTCATTGGTCGAAATCGTGGCCCGCATTAACCAATCTAAAAAAAATCGTTCATCGGGCAATACGTAGTGTTGACGTCTTCCGTACAAGTGGAAGTGATGCGGTGTGCGTGTGACCTTGTAGCCACGCTCTTCCGGCCAGAACGAACGCTATACACAACAATTACCAGCAATGTGTATAATATAGTTTATTACATGACCTATATACATAAATAGTGATACATAACATATAATATGCAGAATTCTGGTTTCATGATCTCATTAGGCCAATCTACTTTTAACATTTGGATTTTTCGTTCGTGTTTACGTAGATTCCTTGGACATAGACATCCAAGTCATTTTCTGTTTCCAATCATGTGTGATAGCGCTTGATAGATTTTTTTCATACGACCCTCATACCACCGCATAGAAAATCGGTCGTTCGTATGCCAAACAACAAAAATTTTCACTGTTGTTCAACCGGATTTTTTCGTTCACAACATCGTTATCGGTTGAAACATCCTGCTCATCAACAAAGATAAAATCGTTTGATCAGTGGTTCCGCTAAATTTTTCGTACGATTTTCTTATTGAGTGTACGGGGAATAAGTGATTTAAAGCTGAAGTTTAGGTATGGCAATTTTTTACATAACTACATTGGTCAAGCTTGGAAACATGTATGTATGTGCCATACCTGTGGGATCCCCAAGGGATCACTCTGCTCCCATTAGAGATTGCTTCACTTTCATTGAGAAAGTAAAGTTTTCCTGTGCCAAGAAAGCAACCTCCTATGCAGTAAGTCAGTCGTTTGACATGAATCCTGGAGACTAGTGAAGTTCACTATAGTAGCGTTGCCTTCGATGTGGATCCCAAAGGTATGGCACATACATACACTATATTGCCAGGAGTATTGGGACACCCCTCTAAATCATTGGATTGAGGTGTTCCAATCATCTCCATGGCCACAGATGTATAAAATAAAGTACTTAGGCATGCTTCTACAAACATTTGTGAAAGAATGGATTGCTCTCAGGAGCTCAGTGAATTCAAGTGTGGTCCCGTGATAGGTTGCCACCTGTGCAATAAGTTAATTCGTGACATTTCCTCGCTACTAAATAATCCACGGTCAACTGTTAGTGGTATTATAACAAAGTGGAAGCAACTGGGAACAACAGCAACTCAGCCACGAAGTGGTAGGCCACGTAAAATGATAGAGTGGGGTCAACACATGCTGAAGAGCACAGTGTGCAGAAATCGCCAACTGTCTGCGGGGTCATTAGCTAAAGACCTCCAAACTTTGTGTGGCCTTCAGGTTAGCACAGCAAGAGTGCGAAGAGAGCTTTATGGAATGGGTTTCCATGGCTAAGCAGCTGCATCCCAAGCTTTGCATTACTAAGTGCAATGCAAAAAGTCAGATACAGTGGTGTAAAGCACGTAGCCACTGGACTCTAGAGCAGTGGAGGCGTGTTCTCTGGAGTGATGAATCACACTTCTCAGTCTGGCAATCCGATGAACATGGGTTTGGCGGTTGCCAAGGGAAAGGTACTGACTGCATTGTGCCAAGTATAAAGTTTGGCGGAAGGGAGATTATCAGGGATAAGGCATCAGCATACCAAGACATGGAGAAAATTTCATGCACCCAACTTTGTGGGAAGAGTTTGGGGATGGCCCCTTCCTGTTCCAACATGACTGCGCACCAGTGCACAAAGCAAGGTCCATAAATACATAGATGAACAAGTTTGGGGTGGAGGAACTTGACTGGCTTGCACAGAGTCCTGACCTCAACCTGATAGAACACCTTTGGGATGAATTTAGAGTGGAGACTGCGAGCCAGACCTTCTCGACCAACATCAGTGCTTGACCTCACAAATGCACTTCTGGAAGAATGGTCAAACATCCCCATAGGTAAACTCCTAAACCTTGTGGACCGCCTTCAAAGAAAAGTTGAAGCTGTTCTAGCTGCAAAGGGCAGCCCAACTCAATATTGAACCCTATGTACTAAGACTGGGATGCCATTCAAGTTTTATGTGCGTGTAAAGGCAGGCGTACCAATACTTTTGGCAATATAGTGTACTTGCATCAGTCCAAGCGGGACCAGTGTAACGATATAAAAATTGCAATACCTAAACTTTAGCTTTAATGCTGAATATGACTGTATAGATCAGTGATTCCCAACCCCGTTTGCCCCCGAACCCCCAACAGATCAAGTTTTTTTTAGTTTCCCTTAGGTAAAATAGCTGTCATAAATACCAAACCATTGACATTGATTTAAATCCTAGATTGTAAGCTCCAAGGAGCAGGGCCCTCCTATCCCTCTTGTATTGAACTGTATTGTTGCTGTATTGTCTCCCGTTATATTGTAAAGCGCTGAGCAAACTGTTAGTGCTATATAAATCCTGTATTATAATAATAATAATAAAGCACCTCTGCAAGGTGAAGGAAATCCTAAAAACTTGGCCTTTTGAAGGTACTTGACAACTGAGGTTGAGAACCACTGCCATAGGTGACACTGAACCTGCATGTGTTTTTTTTATTTTCATCTCTGTGGAGAGGTCACCTCACAGCCTTTCCCAGATGTGACATTCTTATATACTTCAGTTTAAATGCCATTATTTCCCTGCTCACTTCAAAATGTGAAATCACTGTATTGACTTTAGAAATGTCTTACTGATTTCCAAGAAGTCTTTTTTTAACGTTTAAGAAAAGGTGTTCCAATTATAAATTCAATAATTTTCCATCTCTTGTTAACAGGATCGATTATTGCTATCAAGGAAGATTTTGAGTTTTTTTCCTCTCTTGTTGGTTGACTAAATGATTTCCTGATTATGTTTACAGGGTCAGTCAGCACTAAACTGGTATTTCATCTTTGGTACATGCTGGAGAATTCAAGCCGAACTCCAGGAAGATCTAAAAACTTAATTTAAAGGAGTATAGGCAAAGCGATTTCACCGTTTAAATATTTATTTTGGCTATGCTTCTATGGATCACAGGAGTGCAGTGCGTTCTGCACTCCTTTGACCTGTTTTCAGCCAACAGCGGGCTCAAGTCCGCTGTCGGCTAACATCACGCAGTCAGTCTAGGCCAGTGTTTCTCAACTCCAGTCCTCATGGACCCCCAACAGGTCATGTTTTCAGGATTTCCCTCAGATGAAACAGCTGTGGTAATTACTAAGGCAGTGAAACTGATCAAATCACCTGTGCAAAATAATGGAAATCCTGAAAACATGACCTGTTGGGGGTCCATGAGGACTGGAGTTGAGAAACACTGGTCTAGGCTCAGGAAAGATCTCGATTTTAAAGCCAGGATCCATCCAGATGCCTGGACTGGCAGCTGGCTCAGCTTCTCAGCAAGCCACTGACATCCTGAGCCAGCTGCTCCCACCCCATCCACACCCCAGCACTCCAGTGAGCGCTGGAAGAGCAGAACAGAGAGTCGGTGACTGACGTTTACCTGCTGTCTGCAGGCTGAAGACTGAGCTGAGCTGTCAGTGGCCTTTGATCACTCAGTTTTCGGGCTTAGAGGCGGCGGGTACAGCTGCTGCTGGGATCAGTGCTGCAGCCATCTAGCTAACTATGATTGTTTATTTTTTTTAGAAATCCATCTTTCAATGCAATTATGTATTTTTTTAAAACAAATTTTGAATGTAACTATTTCAGATACCTGAAATTGACATGTTATGAGACTCATACAATCCCCTGTAGAGCAACATTCAGACTTGGAAGAGGGAAAGCCAGCACTTGGGGTTCTGCATGCAAATATATGAATGAGGTGTTGGCCGGAAGTGGGAAGATTGACAACCTCTTCACTTTGTTGCTTCTCATTCATTGCCCAATCACAGGCTGGTGGCAGAGAAGTGACCAGGTTCTGTTGGTTTACAGCAATAGAAAAAAGTCCGGTCTCCTGGCTTGCTCTGTTGTCTGACAGGCCATGTAAATTTATCTAAGGACTATGTGGACAGAAATACAAATTTTTATTTGTAGGTCAAACAGCTTGGTTATATGTATTTCATGTGCATATTTGGCTGTTTTCCTGATTTGCTTTTTTTTCTAAACTTCACAGTGAGTCCATTGATAAGATCCCTACCATTCTATTCTAGTGATACGTATCTGATCTGGCACTTATCTGAGGGTTTGCTGCTGGATTTTAAATGAAATATTATTATGGAGGAAGCAAGAGCAGCAGTGGAAAAATCCATATTGAAGCAGGAGGACTCAAGGGTGGCCTGTAAAAAATTTGTGAACCAAATGTAGCACCCCCTTGACCTGCAAAACAGGTGGGGTACCCCAACTGAAAGGGTAGGCTAGCATTTAACCCCAGGGCTGAGGCGATGGCTAAAATTGGGGGTCTGAGAAATCATTGGGCGCCAGTCAGTTTAATGCCTTTTATGATAAATTACTCATCAAAGAAGAAGAGAGGGATAGGGCTGCAGATATCCCAAGAAACACTTTCAGACCGCCAGGTCCATGTCCAGCTTGTACAGTGTTAAAATCCTTTAAGATGACACCAGCGACAGTGTAGATAGCACCTCTGGCTGGTTAGCAGACCTCTCCTCTGTACTTGTTCCCATGCTTCTGTGCGTCCTTCCAAACCTCCATGCATCCTCTCAAAAAGAGTCACTAGCCCCTGCAGGAAAACAAGCCATTTTCTGGGTGCTTTTTCCTCCAGTAAGGTCCTCCTCCTGAGTCTCAATCCTGATACAGCGTCTCCCCCTCTACAGAGAGGACAAATTCTGAGGACCACTTCTGGCCTAACTGCAAGCACAGAGCACATGCTAGGTCCTACACAGGCTACAGACCTAGCAATACAGATCAATGAGTAGCCATAGCTGGGGGAAGAAACCGCTCACAAAGCCCACCTCAGATATTAATGCTAATTGTCAATATTCCCATCACAAATGTTCCTGTAATGGATGCTACAGCATCAGCCGGATGGGAACTCCAACATGCACAGAACAGTGTAACTATTTTCCGGCACTCCATAGATCTTTAGACAAAGTCTAAACATTTTTTTATTCAAGGGAGATCACATGACTGCAAGGAAGTGCAACATTTCAAAGCCACTCAGGACCCTTTTGTCATGCATGTAATGACATATGATTGTCTGAAGATCTGTGGTGTGCTGGCAAATATTTACGCTGTTCAAATATTAATGCTGTCCCCCAGCATGCACCAGTGCCAATAGACTTCTTACTGGTTGGCTAAAGGAAGCATAAATATTATTAACTCAGAATGTCTGTGGCATCTCATACTATTACTAGAGGTACAAGTGACACCTAATGTTTTGGCCTCGCTTCTCAACTTTTTGACTAAGATCAAGTATAATATCTGTTCTTATCAGAAAGAAGGTTGGTGTCCTTCGTACGGCCTTGTGCCAGTTAGTATGTTCCTGATCTTATAAGGTGGTATGGTGGGAGGCTTCCTTTTCTTCCTGGGTTGAATCTGACCTACGTTCCAATGCTTTGTCTGATTTGAACGGGGCTGCATTTGCCTTGGGGGGGGGGGGGGGGGGGGGAAGCAGAAGATGCCTCTGGTGATGTGCTACCTTTGGGTTGCACCACACCACTGTATTTTCATTGGTACTAGGACACCTCACTAATTGCTTTTCTTGCACACGCCTTATGGGCAGGCCTTTTGGCTAGTCTAGGGGAAATTTTTATACTATTTATTTTATTTATTTCAGGTACCTATATAGTGCTGTCAATCTACGCAGCGCTTTACACATATTGAACATTCCCATCAGTCCCTAACCCTCAAGGGGTGTACTATCTAAGGTCCCTAACTCACATTCATACATACACATATTAGGACCAATTTAGACAGGATCCAATTAACCTACCAGCATGTCTTTGGAGTGTGGGAGGAAACTGGAGCACCCCCACGCAAGCACAGGGAGAACATGCAAACTCCATGCAGGAGGCACCATGGTCAGGAATCGAACCCATGACCCATTTACTGCAAGGCAGACGTGCTAACCACTAAGCCACTGTGCCACCCAGAGCCACTGTACTAGCCGGATGGCCTGCCTTGTCATTGCACTTGGCACAATTTTTTATTTTTGCACTATTTATTAAGACACTTTCACTGTACTTGTGGTGTTTTTTTGGGCTTTGCACAGAGTGGGAGGTGCAGGTTAGTAGGGGACCTGTCCTGATATTGGAGGGGGGGGGAGGGAGGGTCTAGAGGAAAACCAAGTAAGCAAAAAAAAAAAAAACTACAGATCAGCAATCACTGTTCTGGTGACCATTATAACTGAAAGTGAAAGTAAAAAAATATCCAATTTTGAGTGGACGCCAAAATGAAAATTAGTAGGGAAATTGGAACATTAGTTTTGGTGAACCTCGTGACTATCAGGGACTTCCCTAACTTCGGAGGGATTTCCTCTCACTTCCTGTGTTGGCTATGGGACAGAAAGTGACTGGGCTATGGGACAGAAAGTGAAAGGAAATTTTCCAA